TTGTAATTATTTTAATTATTTTTATTTCCAAACTGATTTTAACCAGTTCTATAGTAAGGTAACATTCCAATAGACAATATGCAAAGCTTTTTTTTCAGTTTACAGCAGTATTTATTACACAAAATTTAAGTAAAGCTTAACATGCCGATCTTGCCCCGATCTCCCCTAAATTTATTTAAGAAAAGGAGAATTAATTAAGTAGTTATGACTGAAAGAGGGAGAAGAAAGAGAAATTTTGCAGTCACGCGACGATATCACATGATTATACAGATGTATGAGGAAATAATAAAAATAATTTTGATATGGTTTATTTTTGGACGTCGCCCTATTTAGATGTTACTCGAGAATATTTTAACCTGTAAATCTAAGATTCAAATTTGTTTTAACATTATTATACCGTTAAACAAATATTAAAATGTTGACTTATCTTTCGAATTTGAACTTTTAATTTATAAATTTCAACGTTTTCGTCGAAATCGCACTTTTAATGAGTGATAACGAGTAATCTTAAAGAGAAAAATAGAAATTAATTAAATCTAAATTTAAAAAAATATATATATATGTATATATTAAGTATCCATAAAAACTGTTTTGATGTAAATTTACCAGTAAAATATAAATTCTTAGATTAATATTTTTGTTTTATAAAGTAGCAGTCGAGCGAGAAAAACACCTTTCCATTTTTAAAAAATGTATTTCCAGGTGTGTTCCACTTAAATGAATCAAAAGCTCTGACTGTCTCGATGGCTCAGTTGCTTTCTGTGCACAATCTGTCGCAGACCTCGCTACAATCCACCCAGGATCAAGGAATACCAAACATCGTTTTAACAGAAGACGATGAGAAATACCAGAGGAACGGTAGTATCGGTAGCGTGTCCATAAACAGCGACATCAGTCTGCCGAAAATCGACGGACCACCAGACGACTACAATAACAATGCTCCAATACTTAAGAAATTACAGCAGGCACCCGTGGATCTTTCATGGGAGAATCTTTCGTTTTCTGTCTCCAAAGGATGGAGGAAAAAAGGTAAAAAAAAATACATAATAATTCTTAATTCCAGGAAACAGTTTAACCCCCGTAAAATAAAGGTTACGCCATAACATAAAGATGTAGTTGTAATTTATGCTAGAATAATTTTCTGTTATTTGAGTGTTTAGTTTGTTTTGTTAACGCGTGCAAACGTGCATAACAATAGCATTGTTTGTTTCTTGGTGGGAGACACAAAAATAATTAAATATTTTCTCTTATCTATATAAATATTTTTCCAAAAAACTTTCGTAATTTTATCGCTAACGATCAATATTTAATTTTGCAACAGAAAGAAAAGTGATCTTGAAGGATCTGTCGGGTCTGGTGACGTCGGGAGAATTGACGGCAATCATGGGACCTTCGGGAGCGGGAAAATCGACTCTGATGAATATTCTAAGTGGATTTTTGTACGTCGTTTGGAAAAAAAATCCTAAAATTATATATTATGTTCATTAAATCACATGCCCATTATAATTTAATTGAAAATTATTATTCTTAGGAATGCAAAACACGAAGGCAAAATCCTAGTGAATAATCAAAGAAGAAACCTGAACATGTTCCGGAAATTGTGCTGTTACATTACTCAAGATGATTATCTTTTACCTCATTTAACGGTTCTGGAATCCATTACTGTGGCCGCAAATCTTAAAATTCCCTCATCCGTATCCCAAGAAGAAAGGAAGCAAATGGTACTAGCAGCGTAACTATCGAACGAATGCTATCTTCATAATAATCAAAAATTTAAAAAAATAAACAAATATATTATTTTTTGTCAGGTGACCGATGTCATAGAGATGCTAGGTTTGACAGAATGCGAGAAAACTAAATCCGTTCATCTGTCTGGAGGACAGAAAAAAAGATTAAGCATCGCGCAAGAACTTGTTAGCAATCCACCCGTTATGTTCTTCGACGAGCCAACTAGGTAAAAAGACATTTTAAACGAATGTATAAAATAAATTATGCATATAGATATCGACATAGATTCTTTGTAAAAAGATACAGGAAGATGATATTTATATACTTTTTCCTTCTTAATATTTAGCATAACCGTTATGCAAATGAACTATGCATAAGAATTTAAAAAAACAAACATTTCTCTTTAATTACTCGCTTACAGTTTAAATCTATAAAAGATAACTCGAAACGGGACGAAAAAAATTAAAAATAAATGAATAAAACAAAATCCGGAATTGCCGGGTTGGCAAGAAAATTCTAAATTGTCTTTCGTTGATTTGATGTGATATTTAGAGTACTTGTTCAATTTAATTACCGGTATTACCAGGGTTGTACGTAAGAAATAGATGCGTGAAGCCCCAAATATAAAGAGCCTCAAAACAATTTCATTCTGACAAAAAGTAAATTACGCCAATATGCTTTGTAAAATATACATGAGATCTACAAAGATGGATCCGAGTGCAAGAAGAAATCGGAATTCCATTACTTATTTGAAATAAGAATATTTTTTCGGTTTGGTATCTTTAAAAAGGTCTGGCGAGAACTTAGTGTCTAGGGCCCACGAGAAGCATTAAGTACGAGTGTTGTCAATCTGTATTTAATTATTTGCTACTATAACAAATTATGGGTATATATGATAAGCATATCGAGACGAATGTTCATGCGAATAATTTTGACTAGATTTTAGTTTTCGTGCAACAGTAAAGATGTTCAGTTACACGTAAAATATTTTTTAAACAAGTATTCTTCTTTAATATAACAGTAAAAAATGCCGTTAATAATAAAAAATACAGTCGCTATTTCAGTAATAACATACCTTAAGAGATAATTATAAAAAAATACAAAAAAAAATTATATTAACGCGGAAATTTCCTCAATTTTAATCAATTTTCACATTAACATAATTTTTATTAGAATGTATATATATACAGTAAATTATTTCTATTCTAATCTCATCGTTTCCATCTCGATGGATACGAGTTTTCTATTTTTTTTTTATTTTTTATTTTAATGACTTTGAAAGCCATACTATATAAAAAAGGAAGTACATTCAAGCATACTATAAGTTATATATTTTTTTCATATTCCATATTTATCCGCATGAAATATGAATTTTTATTTTTAGTGGCTTAGACAGTGCTCTCAGTTACCATTGTATTAGCTTATTGCAGTCGTTAGCTAGAGGAGGCAGAACAATCATATGCAGCATTCATCAGCCTAGTTCCAGGATATTCCAACTTTTCGATCGGGTATTTAACCAATATTTTATATATAAATATATTTTTTAAAAAAGTTTCTTCCATTCATAATGCAGTTCTTTTCTAGTTATACGTCTTGTCTGCCGGAGAATGTGTCTATAACGGAGCCATTCAAGATCTTGTTCCGTTCTTGTCTTCTCACGGAATGGAATGCCCACAATTCTATAATCCGGCCGATTATAGTAATAATCATTTTATCTATAACGAAGTTCGAAAGTAATCTACCACCTTTTTATATAATTCTTAATACGTATGAATTGCTTTCAGTTATGGAAATAGCATCGGGAGAAATCGGAGATAAAGATAAATTAGCTATGGTGATCAAGTGTGAAATCGAAGATGCAAAAAAGTTAGACGAGTCTTTGGAAAAAAGCAATTTTCTATCCGTTTACGGCATGAGGAACAGCGAAACTAGAGCGAGCACCCTCTCTTTAGTATCAAATAAGGTGAGAGAAATTCCCTAAACTCCTAACAAATTAATTATAACTTAAATATTGAGTGAATAATCTGTATTCTGATAGGAAGCGTTGAATGAGGACGAATATCACGGTTATCCGAGGAATTCCTTTACTCAGTTCCGTGTGTTGTTAGTCCGAACGTTTCTATCCATGTTGAGGGAACCCGTAAGTATTTGGAATAATTAATTAATACAAAATAATATTAAATTTATTTTGGTTACACAAAACAAATTAATCACTAACATAAATCTCGGCGTATCTCTTTTCGATTCAATTCTTTCCTCAATCATTTTTCTTCATTTATTGAAATCATTACTCTCGATAAACAATTTATTATTAAACGCTTTACAGTTCTTAGTCAATGCCCTGTAAAATTATAGTTTTAAATTTCGGGTTTATAGAGTTTATAGGTTTATATGAAATAAAAAAAACATAAAAGAATTTATTGAACTCTTGTGAAAGATATCTCATTGAAAGTTTTATAGATAGACTGTAATAATATCAGAAAAAGAAATTTGTTTCTTCTACTGTTCATCGTTTTGCCATTCTTTCCACTGTGTTCGCATGAGATTAGACTCTGTCAGACTAAATCATTTAGACAGAGCCTAATTTCGTGAGAACATAATGGAGAATTTCCCTCAGAGAATTAAATTATAAATCTGTAAAAAATTTTATACTGTCTTTTTTAATTATTATTCGAAGAGTAGAAAAAGAAAATAAATAAATAAATAAAATGAAAAATAAATAAATAAATATCTTTTTTGATTTATAAGATGGATTTCTAATTCTATTGTCTTTTTGCAAGAAGGATGAGTAGATGACGTTTTACTCTCGTTACTATTCGAAATCTACCAGTAGATTTCGATAATAATTCTTATAGATGTTTAGTTCAGAAAAAATAATAAATTACAGTATTAAAATCCTTTCAGTAGTCTACTAGCAAAACTTATTTATAAACTAAAAAGATCTAATTTAAGATGGGGGTGAAAAAATGGGATTCAAAATACAATTTCGTGTGATACAAACACGACCTTGTTAATATTAGCAGATTCAAGAAATATGCCTTCTATTCATTTTATTTTTATTGTGACCATCCGTTACTCTTTCTTTTCTTATTTTATTCTACTTCTTACAAGATTTATANTAAATGTGTTTCTTAAAAATAAATTGTGATAATATCTATATATAATTTACTAGTAAATCCAAAATCTATAAACAAGAGGAAGGCTATTTTTAAAACAGCATTTGAGATAAACAGATTAATATAATGTTTCCATAATATATATATAGTATGACGTGTTATGACTTTTACTTTATCTAATCTCTGGTTAAGCTCTTAAGCAGTTATTAGATAAGGTAAAAGTCATAACACGTGCTTCAAAAAATGCGATTAAAGATTCAAACATGAGAATAATGTATATCATTCATCAGCGACAACACACGAAACCGCACTATCGAATGCTTCAAATTTATATTTTGAATATTTTATAGACTTAAATATAAGAGACGAAGTTGAAATCAAATAAAAAAAATTTTTTTTCTTATTTAAGTTGATTTCATTATAGAAAGGTTTTAAGTATCTATCTTTTCGTTTGTTTTATATTGTGGACATTGTCTATTGGGAATTAAGAATTTCTAATTATTCAAGATCTATTCTATTTGATAATATAATCTTGTGTAACTGTTATTCTTATCTCGTGTATGTTTTCAAAATGGCACCCCCTTTTCAATTGCGGTATCTTTTGATATTGACGTAAATCTTAGTTATGAAATAACCGAACGAAATCTTATATGTAACTCTTTATAGAATATTTTTCTTTACAAGAAAACAAAATGGCTCCATTTCAAGACTTTCTTATTGATTAATATTATTAATTTACTACTTTTAATACATTTAAGAGAGCTTTGATTTAGTTGCTTATACTAACATAAATTAAGATTTAAAATTGCAATTACTGTACTGTACTTAAAAGTTTTTTTTGCATTTTTTTTAATTTTCTAATAATTTAGGATTATAAAAATACGTTTAAATTAATATATATCTGATATTAAAATCTATTTTATAACGAGTTTATCATCCAAAAGCGCTTATGGATCGCCATCTAAATCGGAAATTATGTATAGATTTCTCATCTAAATCCTTGTAACAAAGTAGAATAACAATAAAATATTTAGAATATTATCTGTTAATCTGTCTACGACATATTTCGTTATAGAGTCTACACGATATTCTATTCTACATTAGGTTACTGTTGGAAGGACGGGGTCTAGGCCGATCTATAACACAACTGACATAAGAATAAAACAGGTTGTACACACGACACGTCTGTCTTTTTTTTAAAAAATATATCTACAGGTCCCGATTTTAAGTAAATTATTGACACAATTGTTTTTATTATTTTACATAATGACCTATCAGATGTAACTGTCTTATTAATCTATATTAGAGATTCGAAAACATTAGGAAAATATATTTCTGTCCTATTTATTTTGTATATAAATTATACTTAAAAATATATATTATATAAAACAATTTGGGCAAAATTTATGAATAACATAATTACAATTTATTTACCTTATCGTCGAATGGATCTGGAGTAGTAATGAATCTTTAATTAGAGGAGAGTTTAATCTAAAATTCAACTTGAAAGAAAAATGCGGTTTTTATGCTCTAAAATTTTAAATAATAACAAATTCTAAGCAATTTTTAGTAAAAGTTATTTCATAGATTATAATCTAAGTAAATTTATAATTTATTTTTTAATCCACTTAAATTTTAAGGAAGAAAATTATAGTAGAAACAACAATTTCCCCTTCTTAATTACTTTTCGATTACTATAGAAAGCTTTATTATATAGAAAATATAAATAAAAGGCTATTTATACCACAATTAACTTTTTTATTAATTTAATTTTTATTTGAAATTAAAAAATAATAAACTTAATATAAATAATAATAGAAATTTTATACTGAAATCTTATTTTCAAAATTTACTTATAATTTATATGTAAACGGCTATTTACTTTCTCTTAAACATTTTTAATAGAATGTAATAAGAAATATTACAATTATTAAACTGTAAAAAGGTAATTTATACATCAAATTAATTAATTAAGAATTATTTTGCTAAAGTAATAGATGAAAAAATTACGTTTGAAAATTGTGTCCATAGTCCTACATACGTAATACATAATGTAGGGGAGATCGGGGCAACTTCGGCATGCGGGGCAAGTTTGTCAAGCGCTTTTTTTAAAAAACAAATTAAAAGGAGACTTTGGTTATAGGTTAGGCAGTTGAGTTTTATTGGTGGCTTGTTGAGTGTAGTGTTTTTATTGTTCTCCAACAAGCGTAGTTGAATTATCAAGCAAATTTTCATTTTCGTT